GCCATCTTTACTGTGCCTTCACAAGGGAGAGAGTGAAAGCTCTGATGTCTTTCTTACAAGGACACCAATCCTATTGGATTAGGGCCCTACCCTAATCACCTCATTTGACCTTAATTATTTCTATTAAGGCACTATCCCCAAATATAGTCACATTAGGGGATAGGACTTCAACATACGAATTTTGCGGAGACACGAATATTCAGTTGATAATATCTGTATATCTTGAAACCTTGACCCAGGAAGGACTGACAGTCACATCAACAAGTCTGAACCTGGGCACAGGGAAGCCATATCTATTTTTACTATGCTGGAGAAACCCAGGAGGGTCAGCTTGATAAGTGTAGTTCTTATAATACTAGGAAGAGCCAGAGAAATTGGGAGCTCTGTTGAGGTTCAAAAGAAAGGAGTGGGATCCACCTTTGGAGGCTGGCTGAGGTACCTGGAGATCAGGTCCTGGTTCACCTTTTCACAAGGTCCTTTTCAGGAATCATATAGTGGAAGGCTACAGGCCTAGAGAGATCCATGCCAAGGATAATGAAGCCCCAGGCTATAGCAGTCATCATGAGATCCTATACAAGGGGTAGATATGCTGTTATCTGCTCATTATCTAGACAGAACTGAAGTCAAACAGAGCATCCCCTAATAGGCAACAGAAGCAGATTAATCCATTAGAACCAAAGAAATTTTCCCTTCCTTTCTCTTCTCCCATCCATCTTCTTCCCTGTCTCCTTCCTCATCTCCACCTCCTTCACATCTTTCTTCCAGAATATTTTAGGGGTATTTGGCTCAAGGTAGGGAAGACTCCCTTCTCTCTGCTAGGCCTCAAATAAATTAATAAATTCTTTTATACACCAGTGAATAAAAGTTTCAAAATGCTAAGAGATAGACATTAGTCAAGTTTTTGAATAAAGTTGCTTCATTGTCTACTCAAGACAGGGTGAAATAATAATTGTCAGATATTACCTGCACTAGTTTTTTATCCCTGATAGATGAGTCTTTGCTTCTTCAATTATTTCAGAGATCTGAACAAAAACATATCTTAGGAGGGAGAGACCCAAATCCAAGATTAGTGGCACAACCTAGTTACTCTTCCTCCCCCTTGAGATATTTCTCTTTTTAATACCCCAAATGGATAATTAACAGCGAAGACATCATCTACAACTTTCCTGTTCTTGTTTGGTGTGACAAGAGGTCAGCTTCCTTTATTCCCTTTACTCTCTGACAGATTTATAGGGTTCACAAGCATGTAAAATTACAGGACAAAGAGCAAGCTATAAAGAATATTATGCTTTTGTTCTTTTCCCCTTGCTTTCACTTATGTAAATTACTTCATGGGAATGGACTGGGTTAAGCCTGCCATGTGAGGCTTTCCCGGAGAGCGGGTACCCATTGTATGTGTTCACGGACTGCATGGGGCTGGATGCTCTCTCTGTGTGCTTTACAGGATTAGGCAGAGGACTGGACCATTTGGGTGGAACATAGGAGCCCATTCTGAAAATGAAATCTCACACAGTATCCCAATGTGAAGAGCAGGTGGAAGTGGGACAGCTTTGCTGGGGTGGGGGGCAGGAGTGGGGTGAGTTCAGTGAGAGGCCCACTTTGAGAACCACTGGCTTTGGGCAAGGGCTCACCAGCAGACTCACTTAGTGGATTCTATCTAGGATGATGGAGCTAAGAGGAGAGCCTGGATGTTATAAGACAGAATTTAGCTCAGTTTGAATGAATGAATGAATGAGGAAGGAAAGGAGAAAGAAAGAAAATAAAAAGAAAGAAAGAAGGAAGGAAGGAAGGAAAGAAAGAAAGAAAGAAAGAAAGAGAGAGAGAGAGAAAGAAAGAAAGAAAAGAGAAAGAGAAAGAAAGAAAGAAAGAAGAAAGAAGAAAGAAGAAAGAAAGAAAGAAGGAAAGAAAAGAAACAGAAACATCTTTGTTTATAGCCTATATAAAAATGGAATAGGTTTTCCATTAAGCAGTGAACTTCCCAACACTGTAAGTATTGAAGGGATGGTTGCCACATGGCAGTAGAGTTTTCCTCATCGGGTGGGACTTTAGCTCAGATGACATCTGTTTAATATAACTCTAATATTCATGGATTTCCTTATTCTGTAGGACATCTTAGCAGGGGACAGAGACCACAGGCAACTGAAATATAGAGAAGTAGTTTAGTAAAATAATACTGAGTATATAGAATATATGATTCTATGAATTATAACTGTGGGTACCAGTTCTAGCCACAGAAATTTATCAATACCAACCCACAAAGGCTGTCTGCTGTTGCTGAGGGCTACCTAAACTTCCCAGAATTTACATATTAGGTCATCTTCATTTGCATATGTCTAATAATAGCAAGAGTGTAAAGTCCAGTAGTCCTAGATGAAACAACCTTAGAAAGAAGCACCTCTCTACAGAGAGCAGAACCCAGGCTTCCATGGTTGGATGGCATTGCTCTGTTCTCCCTACACTTGAAGGTTGAGACTCTAGGGCCGGAGACTCTGGATCCTACTTGATTCCAAAAATACTGTTTGATCCATGAAGACAACCCAGGGAGTTTCTTGGGAAAGAGAAAACATCCATACCTAGAAGATGACCAATGGACCAATGCAGCTATCCACCTAGAGACCCTCCCCTAAGGAATGTATTATGGGGGGAGGGAAGTACATTAATAAAAATGTACCATTAATAAAAATGGTCTACATTTATAATATAATTCTATAATAACTATAAGAGAAGGCTACTCTGGTCGATTTCCACTTATTACATCAGGGTCATGGATATTACACTATTCACTGTCCATCTCAGACCCACCAGAAGCTTTGAGAAATTAGTTTCAATATCTCAGTACTTTGGAGTCATTTCCAGAGAGTCCCTCACTCCAGGGTTGGACTCTTCTGGCAATCAGAGGATGCTCAGTGATTTTATTAACCAAGGCAAGTGTTACTCACCCCCAGACCCACTCTGCTGAGACACTGCGGCCATCACTGATAGATCTGCCCAGTTCTGTTCCGGTTGACTCTGACCATAGCAGGACCAAAGAGGGGCATTAGGAGCTTTCATCTTGCCAGTGGGGGGACAGTGGGAGGTGGAGTGGGATGTAGTTTTAGGTTCAATATTTAGCAAGCCTTGGGGCTCTGTGTATTAAAAGCTCAGGTCATCCATGCTGGTAAGTCCCTGCATTAAGGGACTAGTGAAAGTCAGTTCTGTTCCTACATCAATTTTCTGTTCAGCATTCCAGTTCTCTAGGGAACTATATAGCCTTGTATAGCCTTTAAGTCTGGGTGGAAAGGGCTCTTGGCCCAAGCCCTGGGTTTTGGGCAGCTTGCATATCACAAATATCAAATTGTGAAGACTATGAGAATGTTTTCTTTGAAAGTTTGATAACTCATAGAAAAAAATGGAAATTATAAGAGAGGGATTTATGAGCTGAACTGGACATCCATCAAAGCCAGAGGATGCAGGGCTGAGAACCCTCACCTGTGATAGTGGTGGGAGGGTAGGGAAGAGTGAGTAGACAAAAATCACAGACTTTGCCCTGGGAAACCAAAGAGAAGGAGAGAGAGTAGTTGTTTTTATTTGAAGCTGACCCCTATTCATTTAAAGTGGCATCTAACAAACTGGATTTCATAGATAATTATGTTCCCTTTTTTTTTCCTCTGGGAGGCACTACAAATTCTGAGAAGGAAAAATTCATTGTTGGGAGGAGAACTGGTCCCTTCAGCATTCTGGAAAGCTTGTGTGGGTCGCCACGCATGGGCCCAGTTTCTGCTCTGCCCTGCCCTACTCCAACAGATCTGTGCTGTACCAGAAGAGGGGCCTAATCTCTTAGTCATCAAGGTTCCAGGGCAAAATATGGAAAGTTGGTGGGAGAGAGAGTGCCTTGGGGCCCCCCACTACACTTTTTCTAATTCTCTGTGCTCGGTTACATGAGGGGGACTGGATCCTGCATCTGAGACTCTGGTTGTGGCCTGGGGTCTGATTCAAGAAACTGATTACCTAAAAGAACAATACTATTGTCAGCTCTTCTGGGTTTGAGTTGTTACTGCCTAGAACCTTCTACCGCTATTCCCTTCCTCCCTAGAACTCCCAACATCACTACATCACCACCATGACCCCCACATTGGGCCGTCTTGGATAACTTGGTCAGCCTGAGCTAAGTCCTAGTTTGCCTTAGCATATGGAATATTAAGTAAAATTAATTCTCACTTAACCCCATTTCCTCCCAGACTTGATTTTCTGGTGAAAAATGATGATTTCAGGATAGTTGGAGACCAGATGAAAATTCTGGGTTGGTTACTATAATTAGTTTGCTAGGACTATCATAATAGGGTAACACAAATTGGGTGGTTTAAACAACAGAAATTAATTTTCTTGCAATTCTGGAGGCTAGAAGTCCAAGATTGAGGAGTTGGCAGAGATGGTTTCTCCTGAGGCCTCTGTCCTTGGCTTGTAGATGATTGCCTTCTCACAGTGTCCTCACATGGTCTTTCCACTGTGGATGCACATCCCTAATGTCTCTCTCTTATAAGAACGCCAATCATATTGAATTAGGGTCCATCCTAAAGACTACTGTGGGGTGGATGAATGTGTAATCAATAGCTTGGCTTACACAAATCACTCATACTCCAGTGTCTATGTGTATATGTGAATGTGGTAGAAAACACATGACTTCTAGGTAACTACTTATGCATATGTCTTTTTAGTGTCTGATACGAATATTGGTAATTTAGTTTGAGGAAATAGGTCTGCACAATTTCAGAAATGAAAGTTGCAATCAAATTCAGGTGTTAGAAAATGAAGGAAAGCTGTTTTCATTTTGCTGCAGTTGTTTTTTTTTTAAATCTTTTAACACTTTAACTTTGGCGTGAAGCAATTCAAATTATGTTCTCTAATAATCTTTGGTGTGTATTTTACAAATTCAGAAACAGAGCAAAACAGAAGACAGAATGTACCATTGGTATAATGGAGTTCATTTTTCTTCTTTCTTTTTCAATATATTGTTTTTGAAGTGGATTCCCACAGGAATAGAATTTCCTGCACGAAAGTTGAAATGAAACTGAAGAGCTCTGGGTGCTTGGGTGGCTCAGTTGGTTGAGCGACTGCCTTCGGCTCAGGTCATGATCCTGGAGTCCCGGGATTGAGTCCCATATCAGGCTCCCTGCTCAGCGGGGAGTCTGCTTTTCCCTCTGACCCTCTTTCCTCTTGTGCTCTCTGTCTCTCATTCTCTCTCTCTCAAATAAATAAATAAAATCTTTAAAAAAAAAAAAAGAAACTGAAGAGCTCTTCACATGCAGAACATTGTGTGATTCCAAATGTGCTTCCTATTCCTCACCATGTTGAGAATGGATTTTCTGTGACATTATTCTGAGGAATGTGTGCATCATGGCTGGGGTTATCGAATAGGGGAAGGTCCATCTCCGGGAACAACAACAAAGAGAAAGTGAGCTAAAGAGAATTTGCTTTTCGTTAGTGCCCCTTGCCACGCACAGCTGGTAATTTCCAGAGGCTTTGGTCAAGGGCTCATCTGGGGACAGCACTGAGCTGAGCCCACTCTAATTCAGGTCAGCAGAGCAATTCAGGAGTGCTCAGGCCCAAAGCCTCTCCTGCAGCTGGACTCAGGGTGCAAGATGTTTGGGCCTAAGGAAGGGTGTTCTACTCCATGGGCATGAGCACATCAAGGAGGTAAGGAAGGGAGGCCCTGCCTTGCTAGTTTGTCTTTTTCTAAACATTCTGGGGGACATTTTCAGGACATCTTGCACTCATTTTTGGTAGGCTTTTCCCATTCTATTTAATAAGATAGTCCTTTTGCCCTGGCAAATAGTCTAAGTGCAGATAGCTTTCCCTTATGCCTTCCATCTACTGCTCCCATCTCCCTGACAGTCCCAGGCCCAGGCCTCATCTCTGGGCAATGGCTATATCTTCTCACTGGTAGCCCCAGCCTTTTTCAAATCCATGCTCCACACTGGAACCAAAGTGTCCTACTGATAAAGCTCCAAATCACTGTTAGATCTCATAGCAATGCCAGATAAAATACAGGATACCCGGTAAGTATAATTTAGATAAACACATTTTTTTGGTGTAACTGTGTGCCATTCATACTTATTTTAATCAGTTATTTGTTGTTTATCTGAAATTAAAGTGTAACTGGGCATCCTGTATTTCTGTGTGCTAAATATGGCAAATCAGGGCCCTACATACTCTGGCCCAACCTTGCTTTTACCTTTTCGCATATCACAAGTTAACTCTCTGTTGCTTAGCTGTTTGCAATTACCACAAACAGGCTGCTCAGTTTGAATTCCCCAAAACAGATCCTATGACAAGAACTGGTGTGCAAAGCAGTTTATTTGGGAAGCATAGAAAATACTGGCGGGGGTGGGCACCTGGGTGGCTCAGTTGGTTAAGCGACTGCCTTCGGCTCAGGTCATGATCCTGGAGTCCCAGGATCGAGTCCCACATAGGGCTCCCTGCTCAGCAGGGAGTCTGCTTCTCCCTCTGACCCTCTTCCCTCTCGTGCTCTCTATCTCTCATTCTCTCTCTCAAATAAATAAATAAAATCTTAAAAAAAAAAAGAAAAAGAAAATACTGGCAGGGAGTGGGGCAGTGACACAGGAAAAGGAAGTGAGTGCCCACAGTGGGGACAGGAGCCAAATTCCAGGGGGAAGTTCTGGGAAACATTGTGAAACACACTTAGAATTATTCCATGTGAGGGGAGAATGACTAGGGGAATTTACATATCAACTGCACCGCTCTGTCATTGGTTGAGGACAACCCTTGGGGATGTCATTCCTCCCAGGTTTTTTACCAGCATTTCCTAGAAGAAGGAAGAATGCCCTTCTGCCTCCTGGGAGATAACTCAGATGGAGATGCAGATACACGCAGGTGAAAGTGCACTGTAGAACAAGGATATTGTTAGGTCCAATGGACATCAGCAGGGTAGCCACGTGCTACAGAGGTAATACTTTTCCTCTTCTAGGTCCTTTTCTTTGCTACTCTCTCAGGTTGCTCCCATCTCCCCACTGCCCTTTGTTCTACTCATTCATGGTATTCAACTTAGATGTCACTTCTGAATGAATGCCTTCCTCCTCCACCCCACCCACTTATAAATCCAAAATTCAAGTGTTCCCTACATCCTTGTGATAACTTCTATTACAACTCTGAGTAATTTTCTATTGCAATGTTAAATAAGGCTTTTCAGGAAATTTATTTATGAGCATGTGTCAAAGGTTTATTAGAACTCTGTTGCAAGGAAAAGACCTATAAGAGAGTACATTGGCCTATTTAAAGATTTTTTTCTTGGTAAGAAATTTTAGAGTTTGAAGAATGATTAGATAACTATTGTCAATCAGATACCAAAAAAAAAAAAAAAGAGAATAGTTAAAAATCACCACATTCTTGATTGACAGTTGTCAGGGTGACTGGTCACTTGATTCCCCAGAGCAAATTTTTATCTATTAAAATTTGTAGGGAAATTGTTTAAAAATTAATCAGGAGTAATACTTTATCCCAAAATGACATCATAAATTACATCACTCAAAACATGTTCTTTCTCAGATCAGGATTTGAAGAATTTTTTCTTTTTTAAAAATGTGATTACATGTTTCCTTCTATCTTGCCTCCCCCCCAACTCCTTGAGGTTGGTAATTATAACTGACTTCTATTATATATGCCCTGTAACTAGTACAGTTGCAGAGCCCTCAAGACACAACTTGGGACTAAATAAATGCATGTTGAACAAATATTTAGTATTCTAGTAGTCTGCTACTAGCCTGGTAATATAACTTTGAATCTTGCTTCTCAGCTCTTATGAAAAATGTTTCTGAAAAATAATTTCAGCAGGGACTTCTAGTATCCAGACCAGCATGTAAAGAGCCTAGAAGTTACCAATCTGTCCTAATAACAAAAAGCTGAACAAACAGGAAAATCCACATTTCTTCTTAGATCCACCAGAGTAGTGAGATTACAGGGTGATTCAGGTTCCTAAAAATCATAGTCATTTTGGGCTACTCTAACAAAAATACCATAAACTGGGTAGCTTAAACAACAAACATGTACTTCTCACAATTCTGGAGGATGGGAAGACCAAGATCATGGCAGCAACAAATTTGGTGTCTGGTGAGAGCCCACTATCTGGTTTATAGACAGCTGTCTTCTTGTTGTGTCCATACATAGGGAGGAAGGGCAAGAGAGCTTTTATAAAGACAACAGTCCCATTCATGAGGGCTCTATCCTTATGACCTAATCACATCCCCAAAACTCCAGGTCCAAATACCATCACATTGGAGGCTAGGATTTCAACATATGAATTTTGAAGGGACACAAATATTTGGTCTATAACTTTCCAACCCTGGTCTCCCAAAATTCATGTCCTTCTTGCATGTAAAATACATTCATTCTATGCCAACAACCCCCAAAGTCTGAATTTATTCCAGCATCAACTCTAAAATCCAAGTCTAAAGTCTCATCTAAATATCATCTAAATTAGATATGGGTGAGGCTCAAGATTTATCCAGAGGCAAATTCCTCTCCTGCCAAGAAGGTTATGTGCTTCCAAAATACAGTGGTGGGGCAGGCATGGAATAGACATTTCCATTCCAAAGGGAAAACTAGGAAAGAAGAAAGGACTTATGGGTTTCAAGTAAGTCCAAAACTTAACAGGGCAAATAATATTAAGCCTTGAGCCTTGAGAATAATCCTATTTGGCTCAAAGTTCTGCCCTCTGGACTCACTAGGCTAACAATAGCACCCTCAAGACTCAGTGGCGGTACAATCCATGTCTTGCTCTTTGTGGTAACACTGCCCTTGCTGCAGCTTTTTGCCAGGGCCCCACCACTGAGGCACCAGAGAGGCAGCTTCACTCTGAAACTATTCTGTTCCCTGGGCCCTTTCAGTCTGGAACATGGTAGAAATGGCAGCTCCAATGATCTTTAAATCACCTTGTGGGGAGGGGATGTCATTCTTCCCTTGTCTTGAAGAAAAGCACCTGGCTTTTGTCGAGATGGCTATTTATGTCCATGGTTTATATCCACATTAATCTTTTCATCAAATGATCTCTTGGCTGTACCCTTTGTGTTCTCTTCTGAACATGCTTTCTCATTATTTTTGTGCAATAAGGATAGGGTGAGAATTTTTCAAATTTTTAAGTTTTGGTTCCTTTTGCTTAAAAATTCCATTTCCAAAAATTCCTCTTTTGTCACATTTTACTATAAAAAGTCAGGAGGAACCAGGCCACTCCTTCAACACTTTGCTTAGATGTCTCCTCAGCCAAATATCCAATTTCTACTTTCTATAAAACACTAAGACACAAATACAAATCAGCCAATTTTTTTTTTGCCATGTTATAATAAGGACTACCTTTTCTCTAGTTTCCAATACCATGTTTCTCATTTCCATCTGAGATCGTATCAGAATGGCCTGTACTGTTCGTGTTTCTACCAACACTTTGCTCAGGATTACTTCAGTATTTTCTAAGAAGATTAAAGGTTTCTTTACAGCTCTATTTTTTTTTTCTGAGCTCTTACCAAATCATCTTTAATAGTCCATTCATGGCAATGTAGCCTTTAACTAGCATGTACCTCAAAACTCTTTCAGCTTCTACCCATTACCCAGTTCCAAGGATGTTCCAAGGTGCCTCCACATCCTTGGGTAGTTGCAACAGCAGCATTCCCATTTCTTGGTACCAATTCCTGCATTAGGGTTCTCCAGAGAAACAAAATCAATAGGAGACTGTGTATATATAAATGAGGAATTGACTAACAGGATTATGGAGGATGGATAGTCCCATAATCTGCTCTCTGCAAGCTGGAGACCTAAGAAAGCTGGCAGTATAAATCAGTCTGAATCTAAAGGCCTAAGAAGCAAGGGACCCAATGGTACAAATCTTAATCTGAGGGCAGGAGAAGATGAGATAAGATGTCCCAGCTGAAACAATGAGGCAAAAAAAAAAAAAAAAGAGCAAATTGCTCCTTCCTCTGTCTTTTGTTCTCTTCAGGCCTTTGATTGGATGATGCTCATCCACACTAGATCAATCTATTTTAAAGATTCCACCGATTCAAATGTTAATCTCTTCCAGAATCATTCTCAGAAACACTCCAATAAATGATATTTAATCCAGGCACCCCATGG